ATATATATATATATATATATATATATATATATATTGTGTGTGTGCTTTTGTAGGAGCACACATGCAAGAAGGAAGTTTGAGCTTTGATTCAAATGGCTAAAATATCTTCTGCTTCATCTAATTATCAATCAGATAAAAAGTTATTCTATGTATCAATTCTTACATCTCCTACAACTGGTGGAGTAACAGCCAGTTTTGGTATGTTGGGGGATATCATTATTGCTGAACCTAACACTTATATTACATTTGTGGGTAAAAGAGTAATTGAACAAACATTATATAAGATAATACCTTTTGGTTTTTGATAGCTCTTAGCTGACATCAAATGAAGGAGATTCCTTTACAAGGATAATGAAGAAGGCTTGATTAAATACTGGGGTGTGGCTCCTGAAGCGAGAGTGCTGCTAAGAAACCAGTTTACAGTGTTAGTGTAGCTGTTGAACGAAAACCATAATTTTCTATTGGAGCTTCCCTCATTCCTTTTATCGAGCATAATGATGCGAATCGGGCTTTAATGAGTTCTAATATGCAGCACCAATTAGTTCCGCTTGCTCAGTCTGAGGGGTGCATTGTTGGAACTGGACTGGAATGCCAAACGGCCTAAATTCAGGGGTTTCTGCTATGGCCGAACACGAGGGAAAGATCATGTATACTGACCTTCACAAGGTCATTTTATCAAGTATTAGAGATTTTATCCATATAATATATATATATATATATATATATATATATATATATATATATATATATATATATATATATTATCTGTTGTCTTCTCAAACTTTTGGTACATTAAGTGACAATTCCTTTCCGTTCTCAAGTACTACCAATTTGGTCTGTTGCTAGTGATCATCTGTCTTAATTTTGCTCAAATATATCTGATTATCGTTTACTTGGCTGGGTATGCCTGCCTTAACCTGTACACCTGATCTATATATACTATTTTGTAGTTTGATTATCAGTATAGTGTTGCATGTCATACCTAAACAGAAGACACCAGTAAGCTTCACCGTAGCTCTACAATGCCCATCCTATTCAAATATTGCTTATGAATAAGGAAATTAATTTCTCAGATACCTTCCACATTAAGTCCAGGCTATTTCTGGGTGCTTGCTTGAATCTATTATCACATTAACTCTTTTTCAAGCTGCAACAAAGTCCTAGACATTTTTTGCTTTGTGATGCTTTACATAAAGTCATGAACATCTTTGACATAAATTACAAGCCTAATTTCTCTGTGTTTGCCTTGATGTATTATAGCCTAATTTCCATGTGGGAATTATTGGTTTCTCAGATTATTAGTTCCGTCTGTATTTTTGGCATGGCTAACTCATGTATTCTATAAGCATTATGATTACTTCTATCTCATGACTTTGCATTAATTATTCTGACTCTGAAACGTGCCCTTGATGCACAGAGAGGAGGTTGACCGTTGGAGGACAATCGACCAGCAGAGGAAAGATTTTCAGGAAAGCGCCATGAATGGGCATTGATATTGATATTATGCAGCATAGCAGGTGGTGAATTAGAATGCCTCAACATCAGTAGGGCACAATTATTAGTGTTGTTGATACATAGTACAGCTGAACGACGATCTCCATAATTCATCGTTCCCTTTCTCTAAGGCAGTTCTATTTTTCACTGGGCCTGCTGCTGCCTTTTGTCTTCAAACAAAATGCTAACTGCAAACATGAAACTTAACAACTGTCAGATCAGCTTGTGCTACAAATGGGTTTTCTGGTTAGATGGGCAAGTTTTGTAAGATTTACCTCCATATGTTGTAAGTAGAGGAACCCTGTATAGGCCAATGTCAGTTGTCTATGCTTTCCATGATAATGTTCTCCAAATGTAATCTTCTTTTATAGATTAACTTAAGCAAAAAGACAACGTGGTTCGAAGTGCTTTATGAATCGTGGTGCCATGTGAATCAATTCTATACGAGCTCTTTGTAGTATAAGTTGGAAGTCTGCGATGTTGTATTATTTATTATAACCTCGAGAAGTGTTGGGTTTTTTTGGCAACTGTTTTAAACCCAGCTACAAAACCATGTGCTTGCTGTTAACCTTAGTGGCTCGCTTGTAAGTGCTGGGTAATAAGCTCTTGAAGAAAGACGGATATTCTTCAAGTACTTCATGGAATGTGAAAAATGAAGAAAAAAGAAAGTCAGACTTATTTCCTTTGCTTTTAGACAGACCTGGCACTGATAGTAATCTAAAAGTTCAAAAACCTCGGCTTGGATTTCACGGACGTCTTGTAATTTTTTCTGTTTGTAATTTGAGGAAAACAACTCTGAGACCATAGTGATAATACAGCAGTGATGTGAATCAGACAGGTAATGAGTTATGAAGAGATACAAATCACATAAAATGGATTCTTAGTACTCTGCAAAGTCAGTATGTATTTGTGGGGGAACCATCACCACAATCTATCACTTAATCAGAAGAATGAACTCACAAATCTTGTGAGAAAAGGTAATATAAGAAAGTATGTATTTGTCGGGGAACCATCACCACAATCTATCACTTAATCAGCAGAATGAACTCACAAATCTTGTGAGAAAAGGTAATATAAGAAAGTATGTATTTGTCGGGGAACCATCACCACAATCTATCACTTAATCAGCAGAATGAACTCACAAATCTTGTGAGAAAAGGTAATATAAGAAAGCAACCAATGAACTGTTGGTTTACAGATGCATACACTGCTACTAGCTGGACCTTTCATATAATTTATGATAAACGCCCTCCAACTTGTCAAACTGATCTCTGACCGGTAGTATTTGACGTTGGTGTGTTCACTGCTTGCTATCTTGCATCCAGAGATAGTGTTTGGGCAATATTAAATCCACAAAGAATCTGATCAAAACAGAATAATTGTGCATATGCAGATTCAACATGATGACATATGACAGGAACATGCTCACCGTCGAAATGCATTGCTCTCATGGGCTGCTGAGCTTCCCTGCGAGTAGTAAGCACGACGACGGACACTCTCTTCTATCGTAGCACTCCCTCCCTTTTCAGCTCCATATATGCTATTTTGGGCAGCAACCAAAAAATTCTTGCCTCTTGAAAAGCTTGCCCTCATTGCTTCTTGGGCATCAGCCTCCGTTGCTCTCTTCAACCGCTTCATCCTTTGCTCCTCGTGGAGTTCTGCATCCAGCTGCATCTCTCTTAGCCGAGCTGCTCTCTCTTCCTCCAACATCTTTGGTACACCGCGACGACGGTTATAGCCAGGCTGTTCTCTTTGCCTGCTGGTTTCCCTGTTCTTGTCTTCCATGCCAAGCTCAGAATCAGTATGATGTTGTTCAGACGCAGAATAATTAGACCTTGTCCCATCTTTCTCGTGAGTGTATCTTGAATATGAATGGCCTCTGGATGAGTGCTTCTCGTTCTTTGAGTGGATATGTTGCTGACGCTCTAATATTGTATGACGATACTTCCCCTCTTCCTCACACTCACCTGCCCTTCTTGAATCTGAATAATCCTTCAGAGAATGCTTATCATACTTGGAACTTCTGTGCTGGTAATGTTCATATGTCGGGCAATCACTCTTTTTTTTCCCTTCTGCACCTTCTTTAGCATCTTCAGAATCTGATTGATCTCTTGATGAATGTTTCCGACGCTTCGACCTACCTTCTTGCTGTACAGATGTTTGACGCTCTCTTGTCTTCTCTTCCTGAGTATCACTTGTGTATTCTGAATCAGAATAACATCTCAATGAGCGTTTATCATGCTTTGACCTACTGTGGTGATGATCCTTATGCCTTTTCATTTCTTTCTTATCTTGCTTCTTCTTTTTCTCATCTTCTACCTGTAAAATTGAAAAGATTAGTGATTCAATTGCAGATGTGATATGCTTATAATTCGAACAACAATTCTTCATTTGTATTCTTAAGCCACATAATCATTTAAGAGACACAGGAAAGAAAAAATAATTTTTAATAGCAAGCAACTTTATAAAATATTGATTCTCTGACTTGGGGGGTCCAGTTTGCTGACAGCATGATATGGAAACAAAGAACAGTACTTCATGAAAAAAGTTAATCTATGAAATAATGGCATGGAACTAAAAGGATGAAAGGGTTTTTGGCCACAACTTGCCATCATTTGAGCAAACTGTGGTGATTTTGGCAAACACATAACCACAAAACCAAGCACAGGAAGGTGAAATTTAATAAAAGAGTCAAACAAAATTTTGAGATCTGATAATTGTAACTATGCAGATTATTTAGAGAAGAAACATGTTTATGGACATTCTAGCATCCAC